TAACTTTCCCAGATAATGTTCCTTTGGGACCGAGGGTTGATAATACCCAGCCGAATGAGAGATTAGGAGGACAGACTCATAATCCCATTCCAACCGAACCAGCCTTCTCTAGAGAAGAAAGGTTGGAGGGACAGACTCATAATCCCATCCCAGCCGAACCAGCCTTCTCCAGAGAAGAAAGATTGGGAGGTCAGACTCACGATCACATTCCAGTGTTCGACCATATTCCACCCAGAGTAGATCCGGAGGATATTGCTCAAGTTCTGCGGGTGCATTTCGGAATGAATCCGCAAACGGTGAACAGGCCGGTTTACCAGAGGCCATTTCCAGAAAGGATCATTAACGATCATCCTCTCCCGAGAAATTATAGGCCACCAGACTTCTACTCTTTTTCGGGAGAAGACGGAGCCTCTACCATTGAGCATGTGGGTCGCTTCACGGCTCAATTGGGAGAAGTAGGCAACAATCCGTTTCACAAGTTACAATTGTTTGGGTTGTCGCTCACAAGAACAGCTTTTTCTTGGTATGCCAGTCTGCCGCCTGGACAGTTGCAAACTTGGGAAGATTTAGAGGCAGATTTTCATGCAAGGTTCTTTAATCCTCTGCCGACAGTCTCACTGATAGACCTTCTGGAGATCACGCAGATGCCGGAAGAGACCGGCTACCAATTCATAGAGAGGATGCGATTGATGAAGGGACGATGTCCTACGATGATCAATGAAAGCGAAATGACCAATTTGGTGGTCAGGAACATGCATACCAGACTTTGCGAGGCCCTGACAGCCCACGACTTTCAAGATCTGGCCAGTTTAGCATCCACGGCAAGAAGGTTAGAATCCTTTTTTACAGAAAATAATCATGACTTCCGTCAGGGGGGAGATGCTGAAGCAATGTTAGTGCAAGATCGATCAATGTGCAGACCACCACCAGTCCGCGATAAATGGAGGTCGGGTCCAACGTAGCCTCAGAAGATGGAGGTCGGATCTGAGGCTTATGTAGCCTCAGATGCTGACCTGCAAACTCCTAAAACATCACTGAAAGTGATGTTTAGGAGTCTTGAGGAGGAGGCTTATTGTTAAGTACAAAAAATAATAATAATAAATAATGGCAGTGGGATTCTGGACGGGTCTGGATATAAGTTAAATGACCCAGAAGTAGGGTGCAATCGGACAGATGCAAGGATCGGGAAGGAAGAAAGGTCGGGCGGAGTCTGAAAAAGGGTGTACCCAAGTAGGGTAAACCGTAGATCGGGTGAAAGACGAAGTCGGGCAGACGCGAAGGTTTGTCAAGAGAAAGGTCGGGCAAGGAAGAGGTACGGACAGATGCGGAAGTCTGTCCAGAGGACAGTCTGTCCTTCTAAAGAGATAAGGCAAATAGAGCCGGTCGGTTGGTCCGTGGTCGGGACCACATTTGGTTGGTCCATGGTCGGACCAATTAAAGTCGGTCAAAGACGGAGGGCGGCTGATGCGGAGGTCGGCCCAAATGATGTCGGGCGAAGAAGCAAGTCGGGCATTGAGGTCAGGACGTGATACGAAGTTCGGACCAAGTGAAGTAGCATGTGCAGGTCGGGTGAGAGAGCAGTTCTGGGGCGGTTAGAGGAAGTTGCAACTGGCGAACGGTTTTTTGAAGGTCGGACGTAGTAGAACGGTTGACACACGTGTCAATAGAAGAGAACTTTTGGGGCGGTTAACAACGGTTATGGTAACTGACCAGACGACGGTTCTGAACTTTTTCTTCAAAGAATATTTAAGGATTTGGATCATCATTTGGCAAGGCATCTTCAATCAACTTCAACAAAGCAAAGTCAGATTTGGGGATCACCACTTTAAATTTCAGTCTTTTATTTTCCAGTTTATTTTCTGTACCATACAGTGTTTAGAGATTCCTAATCTCAGGCACTAATTAATCAAGTTTAAGGATATTTTCTATATCTTTGAATTTTACTTTATTTTTGTTGAAAAATTACATCAACAATACTAATATTAAAAAATCTACGTGCAAAAAGCAAAGGCCACCATCCAACAGGACGGAGAGAGTACAATATTTTGTAATACTTTTAGAGCGTCTTTATATAATATTTATGATTTATGCATTTTACTTTTAATTTTTTATATCTTAACACAATATATTAGTATATATATTTTACTTTTTCACAAAAATTAATAATTCTAACAAAAATTATATATTTTTTATATTTAAAATTAAAAAAAATATATATATTCACCTATAAATACTAAAACCATGTGCAATGTGATTTCTATAATAACTGTTCTTATATTTTTCTCTCTCCACCATATTATTTCATGTTCGCTCATGTTAGCTTAAGAACTTACACAGTCTAAAAATATTTTAACTAATTCAAAGTCTCAAATTTAAAACGTTTGAAAAAAAATATACAATATTTTCTACTTTCTCCATCCCATAAATATAGTCTTAATTAGGTTGGACACGAGATTTAAAGAATATTGATATTATATTGGTAGTTGGTAAAAAGTATGGATAAAAGATCTTTTTGTCCTTGTGAGTGTATTAGTGTAAAAAGCAGTGACAATTGTGTAATAAAAATAAAAAAGTATGGGTAATTTTACGATGATATGATTATTTATAGAAATAAGACTATTGTTTTAAAACAAAAAAAAATAATAAATAAGACTATTGTATTGGGACGGAAGGTGTAATACTTTTAAAAAATTTCATACATTTACAGTAAAATGTATAAATCATAAATATTAAATAAAGACGCTCTAATTTAATGACAATAATTTATGACTAGACAATATTTATATATGGTATATAATAAAACAATAAAACGATAATATTGTGTGTATATAACAATTGAAATAAAATAGTAGTAGAATAAAATATGGATAATGTTCAACACTAGGGTGTGTTTGGTTGCATAGCATTTGATGCAGTGATAACTATCTATTTTTTTTCATTTTAGTCTTTCACGTAATAAAATATTTATTTATTTATTTTTAGTAACTATACTATCTATCTAAAATTATAAATATTTTTATAATTTATAATATATTACATAAATCCTATTATATTTATATGACACAATACTAATAAGATTATTTTAATCATTTTTATTTTATTCATATTACAAATCAATATAATACTGATATACCTTAAGCTTCGTAAAAAAAACAAACATATATCTATTTAAGGCACGGAGGGTAATAAAAATTTAAAATTTTGAATTGAAAATAATTATTTTTATACACCTTGTGTTCCATGAGAATGATACACCATCCAACCCTTAACAATCTATTTTTTATTTTGGTCCGTCTTATAACAAAGTATCAATTTTTTTTTAGTAATTGTACTATTTACCTAACATTACAAAAACTCTTTCAATTTACAATATATTACACAAATGTCATTACCTTTATATCATACAATAATAATAGGGTTAATTTAATCTTTTTATCTTTATTTCTACTTTATCCCAATATAATACTACTATTTCTAAAATTCTGTGTAAAATACAAATTGATATATAGATATGAGACGGATGGAGTACTATTTTTCATTTTTGTCCGCCATAAGACAAAGATACTATTGCATAATTTAGTAATTATATGACCAAGTAACATAATTAATGCCCTTATAAATTTCAATATATTATATAAATGTTATTACTTTTATATTACACAATCTAATAAGAGTATTTTTACAATTTTTTTAATTATAAATCAATATAATACTAATATTAAAAAATTCATGTGCGAAAAGCAAACGATGCTCTTTTCCGATACGGATATAAAAGTAAATATTTATATAATATTACCAAAAAAATATATACTTTCTTCATTTGATATAATATCATAGTTATTGTAAATATATGAATTTAAAAGAATATACTTAATAAATAATTAAAAATATATTAATAAAAATAATTATAATATAATACAAATAATTAACTTAAGATAAATAATAAGTATAATTAAAATTTAAAAACTATAATTTTTAAAACTTAAGATGTAATTTAAGTATGTAATCATTTTTTAAGAAAAAAACAATGATATGAGATATAAGACATAAAAAAATAAAAATTGTGATATAATATGCACGAAAAACAAGTAATTTTTATTGTAAAATAAAAAATACAAAAGTGCGAAAAATTTTATCAATTTTTTCATGAAATTGCACAAAATAATTTGTATTTTCAAAACTGCTTCAAACTTTTCAATATATTTATAAACTATACTTCTAATCCTCTCGACGATCCTTATTACCGGTATTTGACTTATATAGATTAAAACTGTCAATACGTTTTATAATGTTCATTTCTAAATCTCTAAAATTACAAATATATTATTTCTATTATATTTAACAGTAAAGAATAGTAAAAAAAAAATTATTAAAACTATAAGAAATCAATTATTTCTAAATATATTTACTGTTCATTGAGTTTAAATATAAAAAAATATGTGCATTTATAATTTAAAAAGTTTATAAATGAAGATTCTGAAACATTGAGTCAAACAACTTTAAATAATAGCGTTAAGAGGAATTAAGTGCAAAGTTTACGAAATTATAATGAAATCTTTTAGAGATATAAGAATTTAATACAATTTTTTGAAATCACAAGTAAGTTTTATACCGTTTTGCCAAATATTTTAATTTGATACTTCCTCTGTCTCATATTTATCTATCTATTTTTTTTTTCACGGAGTTGTAGAAATATTAGTATTATATTGGGATGTAGTAGAAATAAAGGTAAAAAGACTAAACTAACCTTATTAGTATCGTATGATATAAATGTAACGATATTTGTATAATATATTGTAAATTAGATGGATATTTGTAAGATAATAGAAAAATAAATTATTAAAGTACGAAGTTAGTATTTTATAAAAATTGTTAAAAAAAAAAAAAACCACAATAAAAAACATCCATAGTCGGCTCGTTATTTTTGTGTTGGTGTGTAATTATTTATTTAATTTATAAACATGGAAAATAAAAGGCTTTGAAAAAGGGTGTCATAGTGTAAATCACCTCTCTGCTTTGGCCTTTATTATAACAGGGCAGAGAGAGAGAGAGAGAGACAGAGAGAGAGGGCGTGTGAGTGACCGCTATGCCCGTCGGCGCATGTTAGCACCGCCCAGGCTTTTGCTACCAATCGCCATTGTTTTTGCTTTTTACTCCTTGAATCTCTTTTCCCTTTGAGCTTTCTGTTTCTGGATATGGATTGATACTTAGATTCTTCGGCTTTCTCTCCGATGGAAACTACGCTTCTTCAACACGGTACGCCATTGGAGAGAAGTTAGAATTACAAAAGCAGACCACAATTTGGTAATTGGTTTTTGTTTTCGTTTTGGATTTGGATTTGGATTGTTTATTTTTGTTTTGCGGTTGGTTGGTTGGTTTGGTCGGTTGGTTTTTGTGGTGTTTTTTTGTGTTATCCTTACTCTGGCGCGCTTAGAGAAACCCTAGCCTTTCTGCTCTCGACGGTTTCGACGGATTGTTTGGATTCCAAATCGCGGAGAAGAAAGCGGAAATTAATCTGTAAGGGAACGACAATGTTGTGGATAATGAGATTTTCTGGATTTTTCTCGGCGGCTATGGTCATGATTGTTCTCTCCCCTTCTCTTCAGTCCTTCCCGCCGGCGGAGGCAATTAGATCTTCTCACCTCGATTCTTATCTACGATTGCCATCGTCGTCCGCGCATTCCTTGGATAAGTTCTCCTTCCGGAGAGCGCCGGCATTTGGCAATGCCGGTGAATGCCGCCGCTCGTCGAGCCTGGAGAAATTCAGCGTCTGCGATCCGACTCTGGTTCACGTAGCGATTACTCTGGATGTTGAATATCTGCGTGGTTCAATCGCCGCTGTCCATTCGATTCTTCAGCATTCCAAGTGTCCGGAGAGCGTTTTTTTCCATTTCCTGGTATCAGAAACTGGTCTCGAATCCCTAGTGCGATCGACGTTTCCGGAATTGAAGTTCCAAGTGTATTATTTCGATCCGGAGCGAGTTCGCAGTCTGATTTCTAGCTCCGTCAGGCAGGCTCTGGAACAGCCATTGAATTACGCTCGGAACTACTTGGCGGATATGTTGGAGCCTTGCGTGACCAGAGTGATCTACCTAGATTCGGATCTGGTTGTAGTCGACGATATTTCGAAGCTTTGGAGCACGACGCTCGGGAACAGAACCATCGGCGCACCGGAGTACTGTCACGCGAACTTCACCAAGTATTTCACCGGACACTTCTGGACGGATTCTCGATTCTCCGGCGTGTTCTCCGGTCGCCGGCCGTGCTATTTCAACACCGGCGTGATGGTCATAGATCTGGCCAAGTGGAGGCGTTTCGGATACACGCGTCGCATCGAGAAGTGGATGGAGGTACAGAAGACTAGCGGCAGCCGGATCTACGAGCTCGGCTCCCTGCCGCCGTTCCTTCTGGTCTTCGCCGGCCACGTGGCGCCAATCGAGCACAGGTGGAATCAGCATGGATTGGGCGGAGATAATGTGCGGGGTAGCTGCAGAGACCTTCATCCCGGTCCAGTGAGCCTGCTTCACTGGAGCGGCTCCGGCAAGCCATGGCTCCGGCTCGGCTCAAAGCAGCCGTGCCCGCTCGACTCGGTCTGGGCCCAGTTCGACCTGTACGGAAATTAATTTTGTTCTGGTAAGTCGATTTCAGTTATTCCCCATTTTCTCCTCCTTCAATTACCATTATTATACAGTTCCAATTTTTTTCTTCCTTGATTTAAAATCATGCTTCTTCTTCTTCTTCTTCTTCTTCTTTGTTTGAATTAGTATTATTTTATTTTCTGAACCTTTTGTTCGTCTTTATTATCATTAACTTATTAGCTGTCCGGCTGGCTGGCAGCCTCCCTTCCTTTGTATGTATATATACAACATTTCTTTTGTTCGAAAATAAAAATTGAAGCTTGAAATAACGGCACACCACATTATATAATTTTTTTTATTCTTCTGGCTACTAGAAATTTCACTTTTTATATATGCATATATTTTCTGAAACCGTGCGTGCATACGTATGTGTAGATGGTAGAAAAATGGTAAATACTTGGGAAGACCGACGCTGGTCGATATATGTCCAAAATTAGCCTGGTTTGGACTGAAATGACGAAATAGCCCCTTGCGGTGACCGTATTGTTGTCGGATTAATTATTGTCGTCTGTGTGTGTATGTATGTATGTAGGGTAGGGTAGGGTAGGGTTAGGGTTTGTTTTATTGAATTAAAAAATATCTTGTGGGATAAGTGGTAATGGCAGTGGCTCTATTCTACATTACATTACAGCTGGACATAGTTGGCAGGAGCTGCTGATTACATATTCGAAATTTCAATCTGATATTGATCGTACTAATCAAATTTATAGTACGACCAATTATTACATTTAATGTCAGTCAATTTTAGAACAAATCTAGAGACATGTATTTATGCATATATGTTTGCTCTAGGAATGATTCCTTCACCTTTTCATGAAAATATTTATGTGTTTTTTTCTTTTCTTTAAATTGGGCATATGGAAGAGGGTTGGTAACGAATGAGAAGTATGCCTGCCTACCTCTTTCTCTTTCTCTCTCTAAAATAGTTCATAATAAGTTTTGTCATTCTTTGGGGCTGCTCCCTTATTTGCATGAGACATTAGGATTGAATTATTGCTGGATTGCTAAAGGCTTTTCACTTTCTAAGATCAATTATTGCAGTTTCAGGTCAATCTGTTGTGTTTCTAATGGCACTCTTCAGTATATGTCTGATACTATTATTGTGTCAGTAGAATTATTCATTGTTTGTTTATTCGTGAATACAGTAGGAAAGAAAAAGGGTTTATGCAATATCCTTGTCAATGTCATTGTTGCGTAGTGAGTATCCAAAGTTGTCAAAATGTATGTATAAGGGGGGGTGGGGGTGGGGGTGGGGTGGGGATGGATGCCCTTTGGCCTGACTGGCACCACACGTGGCCAGCTTTTTCCCATTACACTTTGTTTATTGTAGTTATTTTAATGACATCTAACTTCTTGTTTGCAATATACTACTATGTGATTATTAATATTATTGTTGTTGTGTATATATTATGTTTATTTTTTTTTAAAAATTAGTTTAATGATATTATTAGCAAGTATTATAAGTGATAGGGACATGAGCATCTTAATTACATTACAGTAGTAGGCCTCACCTTTATTAGTTTCTTCTCAATTGTTGTACTAATCATATAACAAGATATTATGATTCTTGCAATTATTGGTTTCCTAATTAAAAATTTCTGTGCAGTATCTTCCAGAACTGAAGGCTATATATTCAGTTACACCCTGACGTATCATATAAAATATATATATATATATATACACATAAAAAGAGAATATGAGTGTGCGTGTGCGTGAGGGTAGGTAATTCATTCATATTGGTAGGGAGTGTGTGTTTGTGCACACATTACTTAAACTAAACATAGGTGTAGTATAAAAAGTGCTATCAACACACTTCTTATTTTAAGTATTCCTATGTATCTTTGATCTTCCCCACTGACAAAATCTTACATTTATAGTTTCAGAGAGAGAGAGACACAAAAGTGACCTGGAATAAATGAATTGTGGATGAAAATAAATTATATATATATTTTTTAATAATTTGGGAATCCGTAGCTATTTGTGCATTTTTGATAATTTTCGAGTCAAAGACATGTCATACTCGATAAATTATGCGTGATAGATAAAACTAAGTGGCATAGCTGACTAAATAAATTATACTTAGACCAAGTGGTAAAGAGCGGTTTTGAACTTATGTTAACATTTTTTTCTTTTCTTTAGATTGAGATGTCTGCAGAAGCAGAGCCCAAAGAAAGGCTTGTTCAGTCCTCAATCTCTAGAGCTAAGCGCACACTCACGCACACTCCAAATTTTTTTATACAACAAAAAAATTTGTAACTGTTATTCGACAAGTGCGCATTGGATAAATTTCTATTGAATCTAATAGTTTGCAAATTAGATTCAATAAAATAAATTATACTAGGCAAATTATGTGTAAGATAAAATTTGAAAGCATAAGTTTAAACCCATGATCTTATGTACCATCCCCTGTGGACCTACACACACCACATTTTTGTTTATGAAGCTATTGGGGTGCGGGGATCTACACCTACTCCTAATTTAGTGTTGCACAGTGTATTAGACAATATTCAATCCAAGATCGCCCTGCCACTGTCTAAGTTGTAAGCTAGACCTGACAATAGGTCGAGTCATATCGGGTTGAATATTTTAAACAATTTAAATTATTCAACTCTAACTCGATCCGTTTATTATAGTGCCGGATTCGTGTTTATCCATTTATTATCATGTTAGGTTCGTGTTGACTCGTATACATAATTAGGTCAAAATCTTTGATTCAAATCCAATTATTTTTTTTCGAATTGTTGCATTATGTTAGTATTTGTCGGCTTTAGTGTAATATGTACAGTGAATTAGATTAGATTATTTTAAATTGAATTTAGTTTAAATTAATACGTAGATTAATTATAAAATTAGAATTATTTTATATACAATATATAATAAATATATTAATTGATATTAATATATTATAATCGGGTTATCGGGTCGGGTTCGAATTGAGAGCCTCAACCCTAACCCAACCCATTTATTATTGTGTCGGGTTCGTATCAACCCTTATACATAATCGGGTCAAAATCCTTAGCCAAACCTAATTAGTTTGTATTGGGTCAGTTTTTGTCTGCTCCACTGTAAACCATATTATTATTATTATTATTATTATTATTATTAAATACCCCTTTTACATGTGTGTTTTTATGTTTTATGAGTTTGAATTTATATTTATTAAATTGAAATAATTTGTTCATTCGAAAAGTATATATATTTTTATTTTTGAATTATAAAGTTATCAATTAATTATTTAAATATATATTCATAAATATCCCATTTTTTTTTTCTTCACAAATACTCTTCATTTATTTTTCACATTATTAATTTTATATCAAAAAAATAAGGACAACATTATCTTACACAATACTTTTAACGGTCTACTACAATTAAAATACTATTAATTTATTAAATTTTGCGCAAAAATAAATATATATTTTTTAGTTGCACGGAGAAAGTATTATGTAATATTTAAATTAAAATATATAATGAATAATATTTTTTGAATGACAAACCCTACATGTTTATGTATATATAATGAGTTTGGTTTGTTCACAGTATAATTTCCTCTCGTTAATATAATTTGTTACTGGTCGTAGTTTGTTTAGATTTTGGTTAGATGTCTGCAGGCAATCTAGACGACAATTAAAATAAGGACAACATTATCTTACACAATACTTTTAACTGTCTACCACGATTAAAATACTATTAATTTTAAATTTTGCGCAAAATATAAGTATATATTTTTTAGTTGCACGGAGGAAGTATTATGTAATATTTAAATTAAAATATATAATGAATAATATTTTCTGAATGACAAACCCTACATGTTTATGTAAATATAATGAGTTTGGTTTGTTCACATTATAATTTCCTCTCATTAATATAATTTGTTACTGGTCGTAGTTTGTTTGGATTTTGGCTAGATGTCTCCAGGCAGTCTAGACGACAAATAGAATTCAATTGGAAACTGTGTCTTAGTTATTTCAATTGAAGACTGAGCCTTCGTCATTTTAGCCCTAAGTGTTAAGGAGGCTCATTTATCATTTGTCCCTTAAACCGATTGATGATGGTCAGTGTAGTCCAAGTGATGAGGTGTCTTACAAGTGATAAAGAAGGAATCTATTCGATTTTCAACATATTGGTTAGTGAGAATTTGTTATGAGAGTTTGTTAGATTATGAAAGTGTAGAAATGAGATATATAAAAGATAATAGAAAAAATTAGACGAAATAGTGAGATAGCCTGGGTAGCATTTCAAGTTGTGGGGGAGTTAAGAAATATGAAAAATTTATTGACACAGGAAGATTGAATGAAATCCATGTATTTTGAAATTTTGATGTTTTGCATGGGAGATTACGTCTGGGTTTTGGAATCCCCCAGATGTAGGCTAGTGTAGCCAAATTGGGTTAATATCTTGATTGAATTATTTCCATTGTCTTTATTACTGTAAGCATTCGTAGTCTAGCCCCAAAAGCAAACAACTAATCTATACTTTGGATATTTATTGGTTTACTGCTCTTCTAAATATTTGGTGGTGTTGTTTGTTTGAACGTTTGGGGACCTACATAATTATTTATAAATATTATAAAAATATATATATATTTACAAAAATTCAATCTAATATACAATAATATTTATATTATAATATGATTTTTCATACTAACATAAAAAAAATTATTTTCGTCTCAAAAAAATACAATGAACACACACTCATGGTGTTTTGTTTTATTTTATTTTATTTTATTTTATTTTATTTATATTTTCAAGATAATATAGTTGTTAGATATAACATTTTATATAAGAATAAATATTGAATGTTGTTATGCATGGTTCGCCGGATCGGCCGATCCGGAACCCGAAAGTTCAACACAAAAATCCGATTTGTTACATAGGGTTTTCAATCCACACAAATCTTATCTAAAACTCTTTCTTATCCATTCCATTACCTATTATCTCTTTGTCGATGGCTTCTGCTCTCTGTTCCTAGCGGTGGATGAACAATAATTGCTCTGGCTTCTGCTCTATGTTCCTAGCAGTGGACGAAAAATAATTGCTGTTGGTGAACAAGGTAAGTTTTGGGTATCTATCGTATTGGGGAATGTGGGTTTTAGGAATCGTCTATGTGGTGGAAGGGTTGGAGAAAAAATTTCACCTATTGAAGAAAAATTGTTGGTATTGTGTAGAAAAAAATTGAACTTTGGCGGGTATTGGAGATTTGGGGAGGAAGAACTAGAGATTTGCCGTGGAAGAAAGGTTGGAGACTCGCCGTGGAAGAAAGACGCGTGATAATTATATATATTATTACTTTAATTAATTTAAATTTTTTTAAATACAATTTAAAATTAATTTTGTTCCTTAATTTTTGGATTGAAATTAATGTTGAATTATTTTGATTGATTTATTTATGTTATTGATAGATTTCATTATTTTGAATTGTATTTAATTTTATTTAATCTATATAAAGTAAGTTTTATTAAAATTAACTTTATACATATATAATTTTAATAAATATATATTCTAAGTCCAAGTTTTACGAATTAGTTATTTAAGTTAAATTTTTGTATAAATTCGATTTATTAATAAAATAATATGTATAATTTGTCCAATTAACTAATAAATTACTACTTATAAATATTTTAATAATTTTATTATTCAATTGCAGAGTTTGTATAAAATGGCACCACATAAAAATATTGGTTGAGATCATACTACTCCTATAAGCAACGATAGAAAGCAAGCAAAATACAATTATTGTGGAAAATTTGTTCACAGTGGGATTACTAGGATGAAACAACATATAACACATGTTACAGGTCAAGTTGAAGCATGTACAAGAGCTCCAAAAGAAGTAAGAGAGTTACTAAAAAAACACTTGATCCAAGGAAAAAATATGCGAGCAGCAAATAAAAAAAATTAAAACATTGTACAATTCCATTCGTTTGGAAGATGAACAACTATATATAATTATATTTTTTTTTTATCTTTGTAGAAGGAAGCAGTTCGAATAAAAAATGAGCTAAAAGAAATTTTTTTGAAAGCTCTACGAGAAAGACAGAAAGTTTGCATAAAAAAAAGCTTGATCCATACATATTTCAATCGAAGAATAAGTCTTTGAAAAGTATGTTTTCAAAAGATAATGCGAAAGAGGTGGGTAGAGCAATTTCGAAATTTTTTCATTTTAATGCTATACCATTTCACGCTGCCGATAGTGGTCTTTACTATCAAACAATGATTGACACGATTGCATCCGCTGGACTTGGCGTTAAAGGGCCTACTGGTAAGCAAATTGGGAGTGAATATTTTAGCGAGGGGATGCAAGAAGTTGTACAATATGTTGATTCTTTAAAGCAGAAATTGAAAACACATGGATGTACAATTATGTGTGATGGTTGGAGTACTCTCACAAAATATGCAATCATAAATTTTATGGTGTACTGTGACAGAGATATGATATATCACAGTTCGTTCGACAATACGAATAAGGTAAAGACTTCAGATTTTGTCTACACCATAATGGATAAGGTTATGGATTCAGTAGGGGTTGACAATATTGTACAAATCATAACTGATAGTGAAGCTAGTATGAAGGCTGTTGGGAAAAAACTGATGAGGAAAAGGAAACACATTTTTTGGTCTCCATGTGCTGCGCATTGCATTGATTTGATGTTAGAAGATATCGGAGATATATTGTCAGTGAAGGATATAATAAAAGAAGCCAGAAGAATTACAAGATTTATATACAACAGTGATAAAGTGGTCAATTTGATGAAAATATATACGAATGGTCGAGACCTGTTGCGACCAAGTATAACAAGATTTGCAACCGAGTTTGTTGCAATGGAAAGTCTTATGAGATACGCAACTTACTTGAAAAGAATGTGTACTTCTAGAGAATAGGTTGAGTACAATAATACCTCGAGAAGAAGACATGAAGCTGGAGATATATCATACATGATTCTGAATGAAAGATTTTGGAAACGG